GAATGAGGGGCTGCACCGTGACAGAAGAAGAAGAAGAAGAAGAAGAAAGTGATGCTGGAACGACGGCACTGAGACAACAGGATGTTGTAGTGTGAACTGTTTCCTGTTTGTGTGAAAAAACGCTGTAAAAACCAGTGCTGTAAAAACATGTCTGTCCTGGACTTTATTTCTCGTCCTGTTTTCTTCTTCTACAAACTCTCTGTGTCCAATGAAACGGTTCAGTAGAACTGAGAACCTTCAGTTCAGAACCCATTCCTTCAGGTAGGCTCTTATAAAAACGACAGGTTTCTAATCTTGATGACTCCAAGTTTACAATAGTTGAAACCAAATTTCTGGCTCAGAACACGGTTTGTAAACTGCTCAACCAAACCTCATGGAGAAACTCACTGGTTTAAGCGGCTGGTGGTCCTCTGCTGCCTCCTGTGGTCAGTCTGTGTGGAGTCTCACTGCTTTTCTCTATGGACTTCTGAATGGGAGGTGGTGGAGGAACCTCGGTGTCCTGTCTCCTCACTCCTTGTCTCCTCACTCCTCACCTCCTTCCTCCTTGTGTCTCTGTTCAGAAGCCAAGTGTAAGACCTCGGCCAGAGCCGACATCATGCTCCTGGTGGACGGATCCTGGAGCATCGGTCGCATCAACTTCAAAACCATCCGTAACTTTATAGCTCGGATGGTCAGCGTCTTCAACATCGGTCCCGAACGGGTCCAGATCGGTAACTGCCGACATTTGAGGCTACCTTTTCGCACAGTTTATCTTTAGATGTTCGATGTTCCACAACACTTGACTTTAAACTCCCCCTGCTGGTGGAGGTGGGTACATACAGCTGTGGTTTCTCTGCAGGTCTGGCTCAGTACAGTGGTGACCCAAAGACCGAGTGGCATCTGAACGCACACCCCACCAAAGCCCAGCTGCTGCAGGCCGTCAACAACCTGCCGTACAAAGGAGGAAACACCATGACAGGTGGAGTCACAGCCGCCCACGCCACTAACCAATCATTATCTGTGTCACTGAGGTAAACAACAGCAACAACAACAACAACAACAACAACAACAACAACAGTGACGTTCACTGGTGTCTGTGGAACCGGTGGAATCAGTACCAGGAGAAGAACAAAGAGAAGTTCTTTAGAAAAACCTTCTCAAAAGAAGAACAGTCAAAAGTCCAAACATTTTCTGAACCTGGACTCTGTGTTAGAACTGTTTGTTAGAACTCTTGTTCTTGTTCTCCAGGTCTGGCTCTGAAGTACATCCTGCAGAACAATTTTAAAGCAAACGTTGGAATGAGAGAAGATTCCAGAAAAATCGGAGTCTTGATCACAGACGGAAAGTCTCAGGATGAGATTATCCTCAGCTCCCAGAACCTGAAGAACGAGGGCATCGAACTCTACGCCGTCGGTGAGAACTGGTTCCATTCCCAGAGGAACCACATATGTGGTGCCTATAGGGGGCAGCAAACCGTTGGTCGATAAAGTTTAAATTATTAATAATTGTTAAAATGATCATTTTTTGTCTTTCTGTTAAACATTAGCTCCTGCAGTTTAACCTTTAGCTAACCTTTAGCTAACCTTTAGCTAACCTTTAGCTAACCTTTAGCTTGCTGCTCTTTTAAACCAACCTAATGGTTAGCCATTGTCGCTGTTTAGGTGTGAAGAACGCAGACGAGAACGAGTTGAGGTCCATCGCCACCGACCCGGACGAAATCCACATGTACAACGTCCAGGACTTCCAGTTCCTGGTGGACATCGTGGACGATCTGTCCACCAACCTGTGCAACAGCGTCAAGGGCTCAGGTGGGAATAAAGACGGGAGCGTTTGATTTTCTGACGGGGTTTGTTTTATTTAACGATCGATTGTTTTGGATCATTTCTAACCTGCTGTGTAACAAACCTCTGGAGGTCAACATTTATGCTAACACTTAATCAAACTTTAGCACTCAACAGTAACCAGTATAACTAACTAGTTTTCTGACTTTGTCCACCTTAAGTTTATTAAGGTGGATCATTCTGTGTTTTTAGCTAACTTTTTGTTCTAAACCCTTACAGTTTGTAACAACTCAGTTTGGCTAACCTTTAGCTACTTTTGGGTTAATAGTAAGAACCCCTCACCCTCACTTAGCCAGCCTTCTCTCAGCACACGGAGGTAATGAGCGTGAGCTCCATATTTTCCAGCAGCAGTAAATGTCAGGCCATATTTAAAGGACGGGGTTCTTCTTTGCCTGGAGCTGTCGCTCTTCTCCGACTCTGGTTCAAAATACCGCGGCTGAACTTTAGGCCCTGAATTC